GGTGTGTTGTTGTTATTGCTACTGGTGGTTTTTCACTTTTTGTTGATACGCCGTTTTGTTAACAAATTAATTAACAAAAAAGGGTGTCAGGCGACAATGCAAAAATATGACGAATTTGTTAGCTTGTTGTGCTTAGCAAGCTGTGAAATAATTCGTTTTCGTTAAATGGCGTGTTAAGCAAACAATTATGGCGCTTTATAGCCACTTATGTACACATGTGTTAAATGGGCTTGAAAATAAACATGAGTTGCGATTCGAGTGCTGAGAATTTTCTCAGCAATCAACATTTTAAAGGTCTCCAGAGCTCAAGTTTTTCTCATCTTCACCTTTAGTTTTTGCCTTTTGATGGTCTCATGTCAAAAGCTGGTTGGCATGATTGATTGCCCTACAGCGGCTGCTTGCTATGAGTTTTTATACCCTGCATCCGAAGGGTAAAAGGGTATACTAGTTTAAAACTAATAATTTAAAACTAATAAAATATGTAGTCCTGATTAGTTGTTCTTAAGGTGAGTTGGACGAAGACATTTTTGATTGAAAACTGTCAAAACTTTTAGAAAAACTCTGGTTCTGTTCTTCAAACTTTCTTCAATAATTGTTTTTGCTATTTTATTATCAAAATATTTTAGTTATAAATTAAAGCTCAGTACTTTAGTTTAAGCAATAAATATATTTAAAAAATCCGTCAAATTTAGATTCAGATTTAACTCTTAAGCCTTTGGTCGTTGTAAGAGTTCTTTATGATATCAAATCTATTAAATGCATTCAGAAAAAGGCAGCTGAATAAAAATTCTAGCTTACACATACATTTTTTTACAAATTGCTAGAAAATACAATAAACAATTATTTTTGTAAGCTATTATTTAATAATATAGTGTAGTGTAAAGTATACTAACTACGATCAAACTGAATGCACCCATTTCTAAACCTGAAGCTATTTTGTAAAGAAGAGTGTCAACAAAGTATTGCTGATGACATCTCCATTTACGATTTATACTCAAAGATATAATCCAACAGCCACTCCTGACATAGCCAAGTTTATAGCAAGGTATCCTGCCACTGTATCAGCCACCAATTTATATACAAACCTAAAAGATTGAGCCATAAAAAGTTGGAGTTTTTTTTTTTGACAATTCAATACAGAAAACACAGATCTCTGGCTAAAGATAAGGGTCGATCGGACTAATCGCAGCAACCTGTTAAACTTCTCTTTAAAACGCCCCACGCCTCTGACCGCTACGTGCTTGCCATTAGCAATGTGCATGTAATGAGGCGCATATCCTGCAAAACTGCGAATAGATCACGTTTCGCTGCATCCTTAATCCCGATCTGGAGAGTCCTGTACCTGTTGTTATCTGAAGCAGGAGCAGGGGCGCTAAAGCATAGCAAACCGCACTTGACAGTAGGCTCAGGCTCTTAACAATAGCAGGTAGCTAGTTTTGGATGTTGTAGAAGACACCCTCGTCCTTACAGGACGACTGCGACCACATGCAGCGCAGTGTTTTGTGTGTGCATTTCCTGATTTTTAATTAGCCAATAAACTCGGCCCGATGTTCGGCCGAAATGAGGGGCGAGGGGAAACACATTGTCAACTAGTTATTGTTACGGACATTGTTCAGTTTTTGTAAGCATTTCCAAGTTGCTTGTAAGTCGGAACGTGAGCTGCACTGTGAAAAGGCTCCCAGCCCAGGGTGTTCGAAAAGACAGGAAATTAATTCAAAGTCAATATCAATGGCGATTGTCTGGGGCTCAACGAACTCCAGGAAAACCGGGCAACGTGCATGCATGCTCAGCAAATTGCTTTGGCGACCAAAAAGTGAAAACTCAACGATAAAGTTATTAACTGCAACAACAAACAACAAACTGTTTCGTAATCAGGCGGCAACGGCCAATGTCCAAGCCAAATGAAATTCATAGTCACTGGCCATAAACAACATCAACAACAACGTTGTTTTTTGTTGCTGTTGTTGTTTTTGTTGTTGTTGTGGCTGTCATCAACATCAGCCTCCTCCTGAGCACTGAGCATCATCAGCATTAACATTGTCTGCATTTGAAGTTTGATTTTTCCCAACGCTTTTGCCCGCTACCATGAAATTCAATTTAAACAGTTGACTGACTTTTAGTTTCTCGCTCTCGGATTAGAAATTTCTACAAAAATTACAAATTACTGCAAATTCTTTACTTTTGTCTTTCAAGTCTAATTCGTTTTGCTTTTTTACAAGTTTTCCCTTAATGTTTGTGAATAAAGTTTGTGCGTTAATTAGGCCTTAAGTAGTCAGCGACATGGCAAATGAATAATGATCGGCAATATGCTAATAATTTGTGACCTTTTCTGTTTTGTTTTGTGGGAACAACAGTCCACAACAATACGTCTGGGATTCTAACTGAGGGATTGTTTGAAAGCAAAAGTTGCTGCTCAGATGATATAACTAAGATATATTGCTTGGCCAAATTTTCTGCTTTGTTGAGTGACATGATGGCCCACAAGGTTTTCGACCTGATTTTCCATAAATATTAGCTTTCAACATGTCAGTGAGGTGCGGACATACTTTTATGTTGATGGCTTTCTGGGAAGACGTGAAATATGATTTTAATTGTCTTCGATTTACAAACGTGTGAACGACAATTTATAAATACTTTTAGTTGTGGGAATTGGGTCAAGAGTTTCATGGATAGAATAGATAGGTAGCTAATATACTGGGTAAATCAGGGGAAAAGGAAAAAGGCTTGATATTTTTCAATGCTTAAATGACGACTTGAAAGATAGAAATTAAATAAGCTGCACTTAATTATATAGATAGAACCAGAAAAAATATGTTTTCGATAAAAGCTATAGTGTGGAGTTGATGAAAATTTAAAAAGAAATATAGCTGCTACTACTTATTCAGAGTTCTGCTCTCAGACATTGGATCTATATGTTTCATTATATACATATTTTATTATATATATTGTTATTAATTTTATTGAAAAAATACACTATTCGTACACCTTTCAATTTTCAACTCCCCAATTCAATCGATCACTCATCATAAAATAATGTTCTAATACTAATGGTAGCTTTGTTAAGTTCTTTTTTTATATTTTGCAATTAAAATAACTGCAGGGGTTTAGTTTGCACCTTTAGGCTGAATATAGATTGACTAGTCAACCAGTTCTATATTTAATAACAAAACATCAATCTACCAGTTTATATCACATAATATCAGAAGACCAAGCTTCTTAGCCCATCTTGATCCCAATAATATTGTTCATTGAAAATATAAGAACTTTATAATGAAACTAATTTACAGCAACCGCCCGTTCTTTGGGCCCACCTCATAGCGTGCGAACCAATTTATAATTCAAATATTCCTCCACCTTATCTCTCCATGCTACGAGTATTGGAGCCCATTTTGTTGTCATAATGGGCTGTGATAGAGCCAGGGCTCAATCAAAAGCCAATAAAGACAATGGAGGAAATTTTTGTGTTTCTTTTATTTGTATCTTCTTTTGTTGATTGTCAAATTTACGTAAACTGTAGCGTGATTAGTAAAGAGAGACAACGACAAATACTTTATGTTATTTATAAGCATTTATAACTAGCTCTGACTAATTAAGTAAGCATTTTAATTTAAAATATTTTTTAAGTCCATGCCAATTAACATAAAAAGCTTTACATATGCATTTTGTAAATACAAGTAGTTGGGAAGGTCTTTGCTGTGTGGCATTTTTCAACGAACATTTGTATGCCCCCCGGTGTAAAAATTTGCATAAATATGCTTGAAAAACAAATTCAAATACATACTACTAATAATTGTTGTTGCGGTGACTTTGTAACAGGGTTGCCAACTGACGACTGCAGGTTTCATTCATAAGCAAAATGACAACAATGACACAAACATATTCGTAATACCAGACCTCTAAGAGCACTGAAAATTTGCATTATAATTGCGGCAAGATTGCGATTTGTGATTCATGCTCGTAGAGTGTATGCGAGAGGGAAACGGAAATGAGTCTGCTAAGCTGGCGCAGAGATCTGTGAACCGTTGCTCTGCCTGCTGGCAGGTAAGTTCAATCAACTCTGGCGTAGTTAAGTTAAGGTTTAAAAGTTTAAGTCGGTGGGTGCCAAGTGCCTTGAACTTAGCCAGCAATCGCCGAAAGACCCGATGCTAATGACAAGCAAATCGGTTGTGTCCAGTTGTGCCACTTTCATTTGAAAACACCTCTACTGCTTCTGCTATCAGATCAATTAAAAGCTCAAGTGAGAATTCTAAACTTTCGCCAATGCGCCTAAAAAGCAGTCGAGACGAGTGTCTCAACGATAGCATCGCAACTTTCTAAGTAGACCAACGAAATGAGGAAGCTGCTGCCGCCTGCTCCGAATTATCCAAATAAATCAATTTAGGTAGCAACATAATTGACTCAACATTTTGACTCTCGAGAAATTTACCCATTAATGCCAGCACCGACTGCCCACTAAGTGTTCAAATTTTTGAAATTTAGAACACTAATTTTTCATAATATTCCATGTTTACACGTGTGTAGAGGAAGTCTATATGGCTGTGGCTTGTGGTTTAAAAGCTCGCGCGGCTTATAACTTCTAGCGGACGGGTAGACAATATTAACCAACCTTTTCCAACTGAGTAAGCTAAGCAAAAACTAATCGACTTATCATCACATTTCATATAATTTTAAATTTTAGCTACATTTTTCAGTTGTAATTAAATGTTGCTGCATACATATTTTATATTATTTGTATATTTTACGATGCACAAGTATGTTTGTAGCAAATCTATATGGAAGGTTTGGGTTTTCAGCTATTCTGGTTTCAAAGTTTTCAAAGTTCAATAGTATAAGAAATTTAGAAACACTCCTAGAAATGAATCCTTAAAAATGTAATAAATCTGTTTATGACAAATGAGTATGAATAAATATTTGTAAATATTCATAAACATAAACAGCAACTGCTTGCATTTTTTCTCACAGTCACCACCTCAATGGAATAAATAAGAGCTTTTACATACCTTTGAAAATGACGCGTTTGTCTCTAAAATATCCAACTGTGGTATTTAATCCCAAGAAGAAGAAAAAGTTTAGTTTGCTTTTTGTTTTTTGTGTGGCTTGTTCTGGTATTCGAGTGCACTGACTATGATAGATTGCAGCGCTGCGTAAAGTCTGTAAGTAAGTGTGGATGTGTGCAAGCGCAAATACGGAGGGACGCACAAAACAAAAAAGGCAGCGCGACAAGTAGACAAGGCCGTTGTCTCTGTTCTTGTTTCTTTTTATGCTTATTTGTTGTTGTTGTTGGCGCTCAGCATTAAGTTATCAGCACTTGCGCAAGCGACGCCGACAGCGAAATATGTTGGGAGACACTGCACTGCACTGCACTGCACTACACTACACTTTTTCTTCGTTTCTAAACTCGTATATGCTTTATGCTTATATGTTTGAAGCACATCGCATTTTTATGCGTAGCCAAAGGCGCGTACGTGCCTCATAATGCGGCAGCAGATGTGCGTGGTGGCTTTGGTTGATGCGGCAGGAAACAGGTGCAGCTCTGCTTTTGACTTTGGCGAAGATGTTTATAGATTTGTTTTTTGTCTTAGCAGAAACTTGTATAAATGTATTGCAGAACGACACTTTCAATTTTTTGTATGCGTTGTTAATATCAAACTTTGGTTTTACCGTTAATGCAACGACGCGTATCGGCTTAGAAAATGCAAGACAAGAGCGCAGGCGAAGAAGCGAGCAAACGAAGTAACGAACCGCTCTCAACAATGTTTACGGCTAAACTGAAACAACAGCGCTGGCAACAACGAGGGCTAACCTGTCTGTCATGTAGCAAGCAAGCGAGACGCTCGCTCATGTTGCTGAGCAGATCAGACCTGACTGCTAACGCGCGAGAGCCAGCAGCAACAAAAACAACAGCCGGCTTGCAAGGGCGTTATTTCTCAGCAACATGTTGCTAGCTTCAAGTGAGCGCCTAAGCGTGGGTGTTGTTGCTGCTGTTGTTGTTGTTGTTTGTGTAGGTCGTCGACTGTTTGACTGATTGAAGTGTTGCTGGTGCGTATTTATGTTGCTGTGGGCGTGCTGCTTGGGCGAACTAGTTCCAAGTTGCTATAGCCGTGTAGTTGTTTGTGTTGTTGTTTTTTCAAATTTTGAGTAGGTGCTGGTGCTTCTTTGGGCGGGCTGCCTGGAAAACTGGTTTCCAATTAGATGTGTGCAATTGACCGGCACTCGATGTGGGTTTTCGTTAAGGTTATAAATGAAAATGAGCTAGACAGTACAGCGAAGAGTAGAAACTGTGCCCCACAGAGAACGAGAGAGAGAGAGAGAGAGAAAGAGCGAGAGACAACTAAGAAAATATTTGAACAACATATACATTTTTCAACTCCACAAAATACTTGTAACTGTAAACATGAATATAATAAACTTCTAATGTAACAATAAATATTTATATTTTTAGAGAATGTTGTTAGTTTGTTGGAATTATTTTGTAATATAGTGTTTGTCTTAAATAATAAACATTCTGGCTATTGAAGTTTTTGTATTAATAGAGGCGAATTTGTTAAAAAAAACCTACTTAAGATTTTTCCAATAAAATTCTATACTTGGTAAAAATTCTATAAATTATGTAAAGTGACTATATGGGCCTCAAAAAACTCTGCATTCATTCCATCATAATGTCCCAAAAATTTCATTTTCTCTCCTCCATTATGCTTCAGAACGAAAATTGTGCCTTATGCGCATGTTAAGTGGCATTTTATGGCTTTAACCCTAACGTGTCAACTCTGTGTGACATTTAAGCTCAGACTTAAGCGCACTTGCTATTAACTTTATGGCCATAAACAAAAGCATAAAACGCTTGAACCTTCGCTGCAACGGCAAAGGCCAACAAACAGCAAGAAACGGCGAAAACGAAGAAAGTTTTATATCGCAATGATATCATTTTTACGCTTTGTTTTTGCCATGATTTTATTTAACGAAACGTAACAAGTCTGAAAAATAATTGTATGATGAGGCTGCCCAAAAAAAATATCAAAATTATTAATGAAAGTGAAATTATTTTGGAGCGCGACGCGTAACGCATAATTTGTGAATTAAGCCAAAAAAATGAAGTCAAATTTAATTATGAGCAACAAAAATGTATCTTGAGGGCGACCAGCATCATTAGATTTTTGATAGATGTGCATTTGCGAAACGATTTTCGGACGTCCGACGATGATAATGATGCTCACTACGATGATGATGATGATAATGAGGCTGTGTTTCGATGATGTGTGAAGTTGTGAAAAACCTTAGAAAAATGCGGAACCGATTTGAAAGATTGCCATGTGAAATTTTGTTGATTTAATTAGACACAGCTGTATATAATCATAGCGATATAGTTATGCAAGTATGTCTAAATACGGCCTAGAGCTGGAATTAAATGGCCAGGTACATGCATTAGAATCGCGCTTAATTATATACCATATTTAAATTATAACATCCATGACATGACAACGACAGACAGTTAGATCAGCCGAGCCTAATATTTGCTTAGCTAGCATTGTTGCTGCTCTCAATAAAAAATGTGTTGCCTTAGCACGCTTTTCACACGAACGTGTGAAAACACACACAGCAACGACAAGTGCCCCAAAGCTGTGGCATGTGAGGCAATTAGCCCAGCGTCGTTCAATGCACCCCAGGTAGATTCTTCCAATGTGTCACGAAGGCAAACAGGCAGCCTGAGGTCTTTGAAGCATCGAGCCCAAGAATCCACGAAAAGGCGAAGCAAAACATCTAGCGATGGAGCCTGCACGACCATCAAATACTCTCAATCAGAACGTTTGTTGTTATAGACATTCATATCTTTTATAACAGAGATCACATTTTTTGACAAATCGAGCGAAAATAGTTGAGTCTGACGAATAGGAAAACAATTTGTGGCCTTTTTTCTTGTTTTTATGAAACGAATTTGCGGTACTTAACGCGCACAACTTTCTCAAATGGAAAGTATGGAAAGTACAAGAGTTTTTGAAACGCCCACCATGCCTGTCAGATTCAACTTTTTCAATCAATGCTCATCCAATTCGATTTCAATCAGCACCTCTGCTTCATTTGAATGACTAAACACCCTCACTTAATAAATGAAATTTTAACTTGTTGGATATTTGTAAAGAGAAATTAGATCACAAGCTCTTGAAGTCAAAAGCTGAAAAAGGAAATGTTTGTGATGATAAATTAAATATATAACTATCACAATAATAGCAACTATTAGAAAATCAGCTTATCAGTAATAAATAAGAAATTGTAATAATTTACAAGCAACGCCACGATTTATCTATTCACAGCGATAAACAACATCTAAGACAATAAAATCTTGACATCTGCAATCAAAATACCCCGAGATACATAATTAAATGATTACAAAAATTTATTTTAAAATTTAATTGGTTATTATCTTAATCATGAAAAAAGATCAATTATTAATGAATTTCAATTCTAGTACTTTTTATAGTTAGTTTGTGAATTGTACATGTATATTTATGTTAAACAGCCCTGAAGGAGAAAGTATATCGCTGGCCAAACTTGTATTAGAGATCTAATTCGATCTAATCTAAATTTGTGTTGAAAGAATGAAGTTAAAACCGATAATATTGAACATATCATCATTCAAAACTGAAATAAAATGTTGATAAAATCACATCAGTGTTAAGATATTATTGCCTTGCATTTGCATTTAATATTGAACACCTCTCAGAGTTGGTTGTGTCTTGTAATAATTATTCATGATGGAATGCTATAATTTTTCAGGGCCTAATCGCTGCAATACCGGTATATCTTGTCTTCCCTCCGCCTGCTACATGCATACATGCTCAGCTAATTGATATACCCTTCTAACCCAATTCATGCCTCGATAGCATAGGAATGCATGCTCCAGTTATAGTTATAGCCGCGCTTTGCCCAAACTGTACAAACTTATTATGTAATTGTAGACACAGAAGAACGCATTTGACTGACTGGCCCCCTGGCCCGAACCTCCCCCCTTACCCAGCCATCGTTGCAGCCGGCAACTCGGTTGCAGTGCAGAGTTGGAGACGCGATAAACAGACCGGCCGGCTGCCACTTAATGACTACATGGAGGGGCATGGGGAAGCTGCGATGGGCAGCTGGGCAGCTGCAGCAGCCAAAACAGACGTGCTCCAATTGTAAACAAAAAGCTGCCGCATTGCCGGCTTGCCGCATTACACTTGTTGCACGCACTGCCAACAACAATAAAAGCTACAATGCCTCTGAATTGGTCAAGCAGATGCATCTGCCCGTATTACGGAAAGCGTCTGCCAAGCGCTGCAGTTTCCCCCTTTTTGCGCATTTTGCACATTTTCTAAAAATACATAGCTGTAAATCAAAAAGGCTTAATGCAATGGCAATCAATCAACATCATGGGAGCTCTGCAAATAGCTTTCGCTTACGTTCTGAGCGTGTGATGCGAAAAAGCAGAGAAGACAAAAGAAATTTCTGGAACAGTCTATTATTGAAGTGTTTTCTTCTAATTATAGTTCGAACTGTTACGAGTGTTTGCTGAACATCTAAAGCTGCTCATACCAACAAAAAATTTCCATACAATATGAATTTTCCTGGCAATTCGAAATGTTTGTCAAGCCACAAAACTCGACCTATTCAAAAAGATACTATATTGCAGATATTTATATATACTTACTTCTGGACATGTTATCGGCATTTGGTGAGCTAATATTTTAAATTGAGAATTGATTATATTTACAATCGTTTATTAATTCGTTAATCCCTTTATTCGTTGCTACTTGGATCAGCTCTAAAAATGTTAGATGCCATAAAATATAAAGCAATATAATACCTAGGAGAGACCCTTTCAAAGCTGCATTTTTTATGGCTATTAGAATCACTTGTTTGAAATGAAATCCTTGTTTAATTTAATTTATTTACAGAAAATCTCTAAAAATCTGTTCACTGTACAAGTGTCTTAGGAAAAGACAAAAAAAACATTATAAACGTATTAGAAATTTTAGAAAAGCAATGCAAACAAGGCAATATTTTTGAATAATAACAATTATTACGGAATGCAGACATTTCCAAGCCTTTAATTATATCTAAACAGAATTTTATTTGTATTCTTTGCAGTGAAAAGTGTAAAGGTATATGGAATGGTAGAACACACGTTATATGCTTATAAATATTTCATCATCATATGCCTCTTTGAATCAATTATCCTCCCATAGTATTTAAAGTGTCTATTACCTACAATCGTGGCTTTTAAAATAAGCAACAGCTCCGTGTCAGTAGGAAAACTAAATATATCAACAACCCATCGAGCGCAATAAATCTATATTATTTATGAGTAGCAACGCAAATCATCTGCCACTGGACACCAGACCGACAACATTCGTTTCTCTCGGCACCAACAACAAGTGACAGCTGATCCGATCCCCAGAAAAGTACAACGGACTCGTATCATAAACACGAACTTCCGATTGCTGCGGCTATACTCGTACACTCGAATAATGGCAAGTGCCACGCTTATGTGCCTTAAAACCTATTAAAGCACGAAACAGAATCATAAAAAAACATCAACTTAAGCAGCTGAAGCACAACAGCTTGACCAGGAACAGGTGGCCAGCTGGTCAGAGTGTTTAGCCAAAGTTCAACCTGTGCAAGTGGCTGTTTCTTCTTCCTCGGCTTTGGCTTCTGCCAAACCCCAAAAACTTAGCGCCGCCGTTGATGTCTTGGGCATATCCGTTGTCGCCAGAAGGCCAGAACACCACAAAGTGGCCAGCTGCCTATTAAGGGCATACAAAGCGGAAAGGCGTCAACATGGACTGGGTCATGGTTTCTTTTTTTTCTTTTTACGCAGCCTATACTCAGCAATTGGGAGAGCACTATGAATTCAGGAAGGGTAATGTAACAGCATTATGAAGTATCTATACACTATAGCAGCTTAAATAAAACAGTTTCCAAAAAGAACATTCGACTCAGATTTATGGCAACTTCAAAGTATTTAACAAAACTAACGTTTCAAGAACTGTATTTATATTCTGCCCAACTTCAAATACTATAGAACTATATAGCTTGAAATCTATTCCGCCATTTATTACAATTGATATCTTGATACGCAATTAACTCCCGAATTTGTCGTTCCCTCTTAGAGTCCAGTTTCTTTTTATATTAATGTCTTTATCGTCACATAGCTCTCTTTAATATTAAGCTTGCCTATTTAAAATTGCATGGTTTTATTTAGCAGACATAATTAGGGAAAAGACTTTGTAGGAGGCTTTTAGATTATAAATAAAGCTGTTCAAAATATGGCTGCCGACTGTTCATCTAATTAATCACTTTTTTTCCTATAAAACCAAATCGGTTTTCCGCACGCCACGGCTCTTCTGGCGAAGAGCCAAGCAATCGGGTATATTATCGGGGTATTTCAGGATAGATGAAGATCAGCAGAGGGTTTAAAACCACTCTACTTAATTCTATATAATGATTATAGCCTTTTCGTTGAATTGTACTTTTAAATAATTAGAAAATGTTTGTTTTGTTTGTTGGTTTGTTTTATAAAAGTGCTTGTTGTGTATTTTAATTTATTATTAATTAAAGGCACTAATATTACAAGACATACTTTTAACAGAATTGAATGAAATATTAAATTTTTTGCTATGTATTTATTACAAAATTAAACTCTAACTTAATTAACAAGTATTTCTAAACAAACACTGCTTAGAGCTACAAAGAGGGTATTTAAGTGTTCAGTTGTTTTCAGCTATAACGTGTTCCCCTTCTTTTCAGTGTAGTTTACAAGTATTCATATTTTTAAGGGATAAATTATTCGCAGCTTACACATTATATTGCAAAGTATGATTATAGATTTAGTTTCAATCTGTCAACCAGGGAAGGGAACACTATTTAACAACGACTTCTCTTTTTTCTGGCTCTGTTTATAAAATGGGCTCATATCTTCATCTTTTTCCAAGCTTTAACGCATTTGTTAAAAATTGTGCAAACAATAGTTTTCCAAAGAATTTTAATTTGCATGCATTTTGGCTTTATTTTTGAAAATTTGTTGTTTTTCGCTTTTTGTATTTTCAGCGAAGCTTTAAATTTCTAATAACTCGATGGGCATTATACCCTAAGCTGACAGCCGAAATTTAATTTGGTTTGTGCTGAGCGCACATTAAAATTGCCAAAAATATTATATATAGGCACGAGTGTGTGTGTCTGTATATAGCATTTTTATGTCTTTGCCTTTGGAGTATCATTTATTTTTTGCTCCTCTGAGTTTGCATTTTGTGTCTGTGCTGAAAATAATTAATATGATATATTAAAGCCGAATGATTTATTGTGCGAAACGTTTTCGTTTTCGCTACTTAATTATACTCGCTGGTATTTTTTCCTTCTTTTTTTTTTGGCAGTCAAGCGACTAGACATTGAAGCCGACCAAGTCCAAGTCTTTGAACATTTGGGCCCAAGAACGTTTTTAATTTGCTGTGTTTCGCAATCGGCTTTGGCAATACTAGTCGCACACATTTCACTTTCAATTAACGCGCATTCAACACCCAGAGCGCTTCATTAACTTTCGATTTCCAATCACATTTTAAATACACCACAAGAAATTGTGTCTTATGGACTTCATACAATAATTCGCTATTAAATGCCACTTTAATGGAAGCTGTGTGCAACAAGTATTGTGAGCATAACTCCATTTTTTTCTTCAAGCTGTGCATTTGTAGCCATAGCTGTCGCAACTCTGAGATACAAATCGAAAGTCTTACTTTTTCAGATACTTTTGAGCAGTTTAATATACATATTCTGGTAAAACAAATACAACAATTTTTTGGCCAAGATATAGTAAAGTAATTTAAATTGAAGCTTATAATTGGTACTAAGAAATTGCGACCTGGACACAACTTGACGACTCAGCGCAATGGTTTTTCTTTATTTCATTATTTTATGACTTTTCTTCATCTTAGTTGTAAACTAATGGATTCATGTTGCTTCCATCTCATCAAAACCTTCGAATTTACTTAACTTACGTACGATTTCTCATCTCCAAATTGGCGATGTACAACCCCTTTGGAAATGTTTACCAATATATACTTCTGAAGATAACCTCTCCAATATACACATATAAACTTCTATCAGCATTTTTTTAAAACTGCCTTACATATTCGCTTAAGGAAGTACCATTAGGTGTTTTATTAAATTGTGTTTTTATTAAGGTCTAAATTAGAATTACTTTTATGCCATTCCAAAAATTATCAATAATATTCCAAAAAATATATAATAATAATTAATTGTTAGCTAATAAAATTTAAATAAAGTATACACTTTATCAGATTCATAATTTATTTTCCTCTGCTTTATAAACGACATCATTTCATAATTACTCTCACATATGTCAGTACACACTTATGTCGAAGCTTTGACTTTTTAAATCGTCATTATTTCATTTTTTCGTCTGGCTTTTCTCTTTCATAAAATAATTACAAATGCTTTAATCATCAACTGCTGGCATGAAGTCAGTTTCGAATTAAATCGTGCATTAAATTAAAATTATTAAATGAGCATTTATGTAAATTTCAATTTAATGTTTTTACTGTCAAATTGTGAAACTTAAACTGATTTTCAATAATCAGATTACAATATGGTGCAAATGCAAGCTTGGTATACGCTTTAAAAAAAATAGAGACACGTTCACTTTCTGAGCTACCAAATGAAAATGTCTAACGATGAACAACCTTCATTTATTTTAAAAATACTATATATGTATGTAATTCTTGATCAAATTTTAAAGTTGATTTACAGTTTCATAATAATAAAATATAACGCTTTACATTTAATGTTAAAGGGTTATAATTGAAAAATAAAAACCGTTTTCAAAAACTTCAATTTTGGGTTGAAATGTCTGAATTCAAATATTTTTATTTACCAAGAAAAGAACAAGTCGAATAATGGAAGATGATTTCAGTTTTTATAATATCCTGTGAAAATATGGTTTAATAAAAATCTTTGTGGAACGGACGCGGAAAATTGCAATCTAAAAATGCATTCAGAGTGTATATGTAGTTTTGATAGACTAAGTTTCCAACTGCATTGCATCTATTAATAGTTTTTAAATTTAAACCAGTTGGTGAAAAACCAGATAATGCAGATACTCGTTGCACTGAATGCTGTTAGATTGACAAACTAATGCCACCTGCTGCCTATAAAGAGTATCATTTACAAATCATTTCTATCAGCTTTTATGCACAAGTTACGGATGAAGGAACGAATTTTTATTCGAATTGCATAGCGCACACAAATCAAATAAAATGTATAAACGTCATACAAACGACTATATTACGCTTTCAGATATCATAAAGCCAACGAATGCCCGTTGGGACTTTCAAATCTGTGGAATCGTTCGTGTAACCTGCTGCGCCTCTCTTGGTATGCAAGACAACGTCGGCGCATTGTGCGGAAGCGTTTTGGGTTCCCCCTTTGAATAGAACCACCGTTGAGTGCCCTGCGAGCTCAACGAGTTTTATTGTCTGCACTAAGACTTTTCAAATATTGTGTTTCAAAGGTCTTCAAAGGTGCAGCCAGCGAATGGGCGCCGCCACTGACTTCCGGCAAGGCTGTTGTATCTCAACGATGTAGAAGAAGAAGAAGACTTGTTCGATAACCCTATGTGGCCCATTTTTACTGTTACCTCGGCTATGTCAAGCAAATTAGTAAACCAAAAATGCTGTAATTTCTACGCTAATGCTCTAATTATAATACTTTGCTTTAAAAGATTATGGGGAAATCGCAATAAGAATCACCTAAAAGCTACACAAAGTTACAATAAGTTTGTCAGTGGAATTGATATTCTCCGCGTAAGAGAGTTAAAGAATTCAAAGGAAGCTATAATGGTCTTGAAAAAATTAGAATATTAAGTTCACAGATTATAGTGATCCCCTGACTGTTCGGTCGTTGTATTACAATTTCCAACAGCTGCTTGAAAATAATTTCATGGACATTGTTGAGGCAACGAGCTTTTCAACAAAGAGTTTAATTTAAGATATATGTACATATATAGATATATATGTCAGATGATGAGCTAAGCCTTCATAAATATTGCTATTTTTGCTTTAATAAATAATTTTAATAGTTCAGGTTTCACAGTTTATTTGAAAGCTTCTTCAGCTTCTTTCTACCTACTTCTATATGCTTTGCGAACGTATTAAATAAATAATTGAGTTAATAGTACAATAATTTAAAATATTTATTTCCATAGACTAATAGTAATCTATTTGGGCTTATATAAACCTAAATATCCAGAACCAATTCCATTGCTACACATTCTACATCGTGTAGAATATTATATTTACTAGTTACATGGATGTTGTGTTCCAGCACAGATTAAGAAATGAGACTCGCCGTTCGCAATATACTGCTACTGAGCTGTAAGTTGTTGTTTTTTTTTTTAATTAATGCCAACGCAACAAATCATAGCAGGAATTCTTTGTTCGGTTAGGTGTGGGTCTGAGCATAGCCATAGGCATGTTGCCAATAGCTGCAAAAATCGCTCCAAAAGCCATAGGGAAGACAATTTTGGGTGGCCTTACGATGGCTAAAACCCTTGGCCCAAGTTTCACAAAACTACTGTCAGGAGGGCAACCGAATGCTGGTGTGAACCAGCCACAAAATGGCCCTGCGGGCCAAGCCCAAGAGTTCTTAAACAAGGGAGTGGAAACCGCCCGAACTATTCAAACACAAGTCTCGAACGTGGGTAAAAAAATTGTCACCGACTTATCCCAAAAAGCCGTGTCCTTAGGCATGAGTCCCGCCCAGGTTGCAAAAGCCACTGAAATCATATCCGGAGCTCAAAAACAAGCAAATACACTTTTCACAGGCCTAACTCAGGGTGTACAGAAGGCCTTGAGAGGCCCAAACGCAGCACCCCAAGCTCAACAGATTGAAAAGCAAGCTCAACCCGTAGCCGTAGAGCAAGTACCGGTTGCCTTCGCTCCCACAATTCAAAATGCAGCCGCCGCAGAAGCTCCAGTAGTAGCCCAAGATCAAATCCAACCCATAAGCATGCTGCAGGCACCTGTTGCCTATGATCCTAATGCAGTCCCCGCAATGTCTCCAATGGCAGCCCAAGGACAACCAATTGGAAACCTAGTCCAGCCCTTAAGCATGCAGCAGGCACCGGTTGCCTACGATCCTAATGCAGTCCCCGTAGTTTCTCCAATGGCGGCCCAACCAGTAGCCATACAACAGGTACCGGCTGCCACAATTCCTTATGCAGCGCCCGTAGTGTCTCCAATGGCAGTTCAAGGTGTCCCAAATGGGAATCCCAGCGTCCAATATATCGCACCCGCTGCTGTACAACAGGGAATTGCGCCTCAAGTAGTCCCAGGAGTCCCAGGGCCAGCTGCCCAAAGCCCGAACATTGTTCTTGCCCGGACTCCCGGTGCTCCAACCAATGAAGCCACAGCCAACCAACCAATCACCAAGCCAGCATAAAAAACCACTAACTATCACTAATTAAATAAATCTATGTTGCCTTAAAACTTTTCGACAGTAATTGGAATTGGTATTAAAAATTGTAACCAAGTTATTTCCTATGGCAATATTATTTATGTGGGCGAGAACTTTTCTACTAAAATATATTGGACAACAATCCCGCAGATATTCCAACAAATTAGCTTATGGCCTTTTTTTGAAACACCCACTTACTTAAAATATAGTCACAACTCGCTAGACAGCAGCTCGATCTCAGAAAAAATAATGGCAAATATGCCAAAGTCCATTATAGGGGTAGTTTCAACAGCGATGTGTTCCGTTGTTATAAGACTTAAAAGTAACAAGTAACAAGTTTTTGTTTAGATGTTTTTGGCAATAATAGTTCTCAGGATTTCTGGCACCATCTTTCAAACGCTTTAATAAATAAATTATCTATAATATTAATACCCGCAGAGGACTCTATTCTAAACAAATTTTGTAAACAGGAAACCTTTTCAACTTTTGTTTAATTCGATTCCCATGCTTCGCCAGCAGCTGCAACTCAAAATGCCATACATTTTAACTTAGCTACAATATATTCAAACTACCAGGGGAAGAAGCCAGAATCTGCTACTTAATGGCTTAATTAGTCTCGTGCGACAGGGTCCTTTTTCAAATCATTCTTTGGAATTTTGAAAACATTAATCATTAACTACCACAGCTTTTTTGCCCATCGTACCAATAAATGCACACTTTAATGTGTTTTCTTGTAATTAATCGCTTTGGTTGATTTGAAATGGTATGCAAATGTTTTATAAACAATTCACTGAGCAACTAATGGCCATTTGCCATACATAGCCTGCTCGAAAATGTACCTGTGGTCGCTGAAAATAGGTGTCTTGGGTAAGCGTTTGCTACAAACTGTGAACTTTTGTGCACAGTGCAAGTTAATTAATTTATTAACTACTTCTTTTCCTCAAATGTATATATTTCAGTTACCTTCTTAGCCTTGCTTAGTTCTTCTTCTCTTGGCGCTCATCCTTCCATCACAAGTAAAGAGCCATGGGCGTCACGGCCGGCGACGCATATGAAACCATTTAAAATATCTGATGATATATAAAATACAATTCTTTTATATAGTTTTACAACAGAAATGAACTCCAAATGAAATTCTATATAATTCTATTATACTGAATAAAATAAAGCGGATAATAATTGATTTTGAAATCATGCTTCGTGTTATAGAAAAGGGGAAATAAAAAATCATTTAAAATGTGCGATGATGTCTATGAATTATTACATTGCTAATAAAATGGCAAAGCTTTCCACATTGATTTGAACTCCCATTAGAATTAAGTGCTTAAAAAAAGTAAGTATGTACTGCTTTGTTCTAGTTTTCAAATTAGGAAGAAAGCCAATGAATAGGAACAAATTAATTTAAAAATTGAGGCAAGAAAATAGTTTGAAGAAAGTACGAAAGGGAGGTAAAAAAACTAGGGAAGATCTTACTTATTTATTAAGATATTAACCAAGTCAGTAAACTACTAAGTACTTGCTTCGAAGCAAAGACTATTAACAAGGTAAACAAATAAATGTATAATTATTTGCACCAAACAGACACACGGTCCTTAATTAAGGTATCCTGGAATATTAAGTCAGCTTTTCACTCTTTATTGCTGACTAGGCCAAAATTCGTACCGTGTTCTGTACGCTCTGAAAAGTGTATCTCAAAAAAAAATTTACTGCCATTTAGTCATGAATATATGGAATACTTAAGAAATGCGTAAAAATGATGTGCAAATTAAGTTGCTTTCCAACCATTATCCGCTGCTTTACTCGTTATCTATACGCCATAAATTTTGCATTGATTTATAAAATAATTAATTGCATTAATAAAATATATATACTACATACAAGTATATACATATACTTATCATCATTAATGTGGTGTGTGTACATTAATGTTTAAACAGCCATACGAGTATGTACAAGTATGTTAGAATGTTCTATATAAGGCGCGAATTGTGTTCGCTATCGATAGTGACAGATGCGTTAAAAATTTCGCAATAAACGGTCGTTAAAACAAATTAATTTCTTATGCTTAATGCTGCGATATTGGTATAAAAGGAGCTGCGGCCGCAACAAGCAATCAGTCTAAAGAACATGAAATTTCTAGCAGCTGTATTATTCGCATGCGGTAAAGTACCAAGTTTGCACAACATAATGTTTAATAAACTAAAAATAGTCTCTATTATATTCATAGTTGCAGTCTTTGCGCTGCTGAACAACGTCTACGGCTCTCCGGTGCCCGAGCCGGTTGCCGAGCCGGTGCCCGAACCAGCTCCGGTGCCAGTGCCAGAGCCGGTGGCAGCCCCCAACCCCGAGCCAAACCCTGTACCTGTGCCAGAACCAAACCCGAATCCTGCCCCTGAACCCAATCCAAATCCTGTCGCCGAACCAGTTCCGAATCCTCTACCACCACCGCAGAAGCCTCCGAAGGCACCAGAGGTGGCACTACCAAGAGCGCCTCTGGATGTTATCATGCCAGTCAATGTAGATAGTCGTTCCGTCGGTGCACGTACCGCCGACGAAGAGTCGCCCGATAAGTATTAGATGACATCCATATGTATCGGAGGATCGGTGGCAGCGGCTTGAGACGTTCTGGGGAGGCCTGCGCGCACACACACACACACAACGCACACACATATATTTATGTATATGAATAACCCCTATAATGTTTGTATGTATGTATTGCTATATATGTATTCGGACAGCATGGGCAATTAATAAATTGCATTTAAAACAAAGCACACGCCGTTTAGTTCATGGTAACCATGTTAACCAGTTTATTTTAACCGGGTGAACGGACAGATGGACGGACAGACAAACGGACAGATGGACGGACGGAGGTACGGACGAACAAAATTATATAGACGATTACTTTGTGGAGCCTGCCACGCGTCACGTTGCTCATACACTAGCACGAAACTTGTCACTCTTTTACTCTTTGGGTAGAGGCTATAAAAACTTAATTGCAATATCGTTCTGAATAGAGTGACTTTTGCGACTATTAATCCCATGTGTTTGTTATGAACAACTCTACAATTCTCTGTTGTAGCTATTATTTGAATAAAAATCATTTCAAAAATAAACCCCAAATATCCTACTCTGAAGAGAAGTAGTAGTAGCGAAGTCTTCACTGGAATGGGCCATTATCCCTTTCAATCATTTCTGCAGAAGTTGCAGAGACGGAGAATCATTGCTCTAGGACAATCCTTTTTAAGCGATCTCTGGGGATTGTGATTGCGAATATATGTGGGGTTTTATTTAATACAATACAATGTTTATTAAATGAAAAGTGTGAACGAATAGAATTCATTTGGTTGTCATCGTTTAAAGTAGTTTACCATCAAAGTATCAAGCTCGTTGTATTTTTCCCGAATTCAACCTCTTTCGAAGGACTTCGCTGATCATCTTCTTCTCTTCTTCTTCTCTCTTTCTCTCTCCCCCCTCTCTGTCTCTCACTCTCCCATGTTCGTCTTCTACTTTGTTGTCTAGGGCGTCGTTAGAAAGGCAAAAGGGAAAAGAAACAACACTCCTTCCCGCTGGTAAAGGGTGGCCTCTTAAAAATAAACAAGAGAATGGAACTTTTTGTGGCCTAAGTGGGTGGGTGACCATCATCACCCAGACATTGCAACCCAGCCTCACCTACTCTGTAGCCAATTCGGTCTGCCAAACCCACCCTACGCAACTGAACAATTTACGCAAATTCCTCTTACTAGGGCATGCCAGTCTCATGACATCTATATCGATCGGCACAGCAATATGTTGGAATCCATCCACAAACTCAAAGACCAGACGACCGGATTTGATATAAAAAAGGCAATGAAAGGCACTGACGAAGACATCAGCGAATATACAAATACGGCCAAGAGAAAAAAATCACTTACAAAGAGGAAGCGGCAAACTACAACAAGTTTTATCAATGAAGTTGGCAGTGAGTAAAGGCTGATGACAAAAACACAACAACAAAAACAACAACAGCAATGGCAACCACAACAATGGGCCAAATGGGTGCGAGCAGCTTAGCGACAACCAACAAACTATAAACCACAAATTTCATTGATCAGTGCTGAGCCCGTGTGTCTGTCCATGGTCCGAGATCCATCCGTTCGCAGGGCATTATTACAAACTTGATTTAAACACGTTCATTGTGCATAAATCAGTTTGTTTTTTCCTCTTTTCAGTGTTTTTGTCGCACGATCGTAAAGCTCGTCATTGTATCTATAAGATACCTTCATTATTGTCGTTCATTCTCACTGCTCTTGCCTCAATGTAAAAGATATCAATTTACATGTTAACACATCGTGACTGTCGATCGCACTGACAAATTGACAACAGAATCAACTGAATTTCAATATTATTGTCAATACTTTGATCTTAAACTGGTTCGATTAGGTCTTATGGGAAAGTAACGCCAGCCTATGCTGCTGTTTCTAAAGATTTGCCAAATAAATTCATGCCGAACAGTAGCGTTTTAAATGAATTTAAATTAAGAAGGTGCCAAACTTTTAAACGCACTGTTACTTTTATATTACCGGATTCTATTCTAATGCAAACTCTATTCATATGGATTAGCCTTTCATATTCCTAGCAGCCACACCTAACGAAAGGCACGCCCTTTTTTGAAAAATAAGGCTTTTAAAAGGCACTTAGAAAGGTAGCTCTTATCGTTATTATTCTCTTATTCGCAAATATATTTATACTTTAATTTATGGAGCAGACTTTAATCTAGCTTTTGGGCCAGCTTTTAATTCTAAGTTTTCCATATTCTTCTGATTTCAGCATGATTCCGAAGCTGATAACACACCCATCAATAATTTCTACTCAACGTTTCGCAAATAATTTTATTTCAATTTACAATGAAAAGGCTTTTTTGTCAACCCATTTCTCATGAACAATAATTCGAGTCTCCTCTGTCTTCCTATACCTATAGTCTTCCAGACTTTTTTAAACTGTCATTCCAATCACAGGCAAATGCAAGTGCTTAAAAAAGTCCCAAACGCTGGCGGGTTTCTGCAGCGATTCAGCAATTAGAAGTAGCACCACTGTTGTTTAAATTATAAATTTTTTAATTTTAGAAAACCTATTTCGAAAAGGCCTACCTATAGCTTGTAATATTCGCATTTTTCAGAAAACAACGGCTACAACAAAACTAGAGCTAACTTACTTCGTCGCGAAAACTGTGCAATTATATCATTAGACATACACTTCTTTTATAGCTGAACCATAACATATTTGATCAAGTTATTTGCGCAACAATCATAATTTACCGCATTTCGAAACAATTTTAATGGGACTTTCATGTGGAACTTTTCAAAAAATCCATGTTTTCGTAGTTTACTCAATGAACTACTGAGAAATTATTTCTTCAAAACTACACATTTGTTGGAATATTTTTGCTACATTAGTATTAGAAACATTTTTACAGAAAGCAGCTATATTCAAGGAGCTTTACCTGGTAAAAATTCGAAAAATTAAATAAACAATAATTTAGCGACATCAATTTATTTTCTTCAAAATAAAAGCATGTGGACAGAGTGGTTGACCTTCAAGCTGTCGGTGTGGATAGCTTCTATGTTTATTAATATTGTTTTACTAAATTAAATGTTTTGGAATAATGTTTAACGAACTTAATCTCTTTTCAAACACCCTGTTTATTTAGGAAAACTCCTACTCGTTCATTATATGTTTATTTATATTTTGGAAAGTCTTTAAAACATAAAAACAAATTCATTCTTGTTTGTTTGGAGCTTAATTTGATTATTTTTGAAGAAAAGTTGTGCTTTCAAGATACAGTAATAAATTTCTCCATTAAAAGCCGAGTTTCCAGTAGTTGTAGACTAATTTTTTTAGTTATTTCCAAAGCACTTTCTTTTTACGATATTATATGCGAATTTTTAGTTCCGAACGCAGTTTATTAGTTTTAAAATAAATGCTTTAAAGCTAGTTCCTTCCTTTCGAATAAAATTACCGTCTAAGCCCATAATGGTTAGCATGGACTATTTTGTGAACTGCAGGTATTTATATATAATCTTGCGAAAAAACAGTTTGTTGCAATTATTACTTTTACTTCAATTAATGAAACGACCATTAAGCCTCAAATCCCATTGATATAAACCGCAAATAAAGCCATGACACACTAAATTAAAATGCAACAGATAAATAAATAATTTGCGATAAAACGTAATGCAATTAACTTTATTAAATAGAAATAAATTATGAATCATTTCATTTTCTGCATGTATTATTGTGAAAAAATTATGCTTTTTAGGCGGCAAAGACAAAGCTCACTTAATTATGTTGCTTTTAAATCATATTAACAACAAAAAGTATTGAGTGCATTTAATGGTTCACAATTAAAACAAACAAAGGGAACCGAAATTTTGATTGCTACCCCAAATATGGGGGCCAATGAAACGCGCCGCATTCATTAAATCATAATTATATGCAACATATGTATACTCGAAGTACATATGTAGAGCTCCCTCGTAGACCCCATTAATCGTTAATAACGGCAAGTGGCACTTTTGCTGGCGCCCAGACACCCGACTGGTCTGCTTTTTGGTAAAGCTAATTTTGTAAATTAATTTATTTCCACTCTCCAAGTGCGGGTGCGTTGCACTTCAGAAAAGTTGGGCCATCAAATTGCATACAAATTTTCTAGATCGCTCCAAATGTCTTGGCTCATTAGACTTCATAAAACTGAATGCCACAATCAACGTGGTTTTTGCATTGGAAAATCATTTTCCACTCACACTTTCGTGTTTTCACTTTCAATCGATTGATTCAAAACAAATCAGCAATGGAAACCGCAAAGAATGGCAAACAATGATGATGATGCACCAACATTTCGCTAAATTGGAAAATTAATGGAGAGAAATTAGTAAAGCGTGAGGAGTGCCGACGATTCCAAAGACATAATCGAAGCTGAGCCGCAACCACAATCGACAGGCGTGGGAGCAAAGAAAGAAAGAACGCCTCGCAATCGCCAAACAATTTGATGCCGCAATGCCAGACGAGTAAGTGAAGTGACAGACAAAGGCACAGTGTGATAGATTGTTAAAGTAATTGCAAAATGTTTTCATTATTACGCAAAACTTCTAGAGCTCATGTTTTTCTTAAGTAAAACTTCTTCTCTGAGGGTTTTGATAGCTGGCTTGGCAACCTTTTCTGAAACAAACCAATTGCTTGATAACATCAATGAACAGTAGACCAGCAGTGGATTTACTTTCTGCTTATTTATGCCTTTCTGGTAGTTCTTGATTTTTAATAGTCGCCAATTCTTGTAGTTTTATGGATTTCCAGGAATATTTTTAATGCGAAATAGAACTGAGGCTCTTCATTTTTAGTGGGTTTTCCAAACAATATTTGGCGGATTTTAGCGTATTCTCTACCTATTATCTAGCTACTTACAATTGTCCTTTTAGCCATTTTGTGACGGGTTTTCTATTTATTATTAACTGTTTTTTAAGCCATTTTCTATCGGTTTTGATAAACGAAAGTGAAAACCATTTTCTAGCTATTCTTTTCAATTATAAAGGCTCCATTCCCCAACTGAAAAAAATTAATTAATTAAATAATTAACTCAAATTAAATCATTCTAATACAACCATTACGTTTCACTTCTATCGCGTGATGCCTTGATACACAATTTTTTTTAAATATACATGAATACATGATTTTTTAATATTTAGTGAATAAAATATATGACTCATTAGCATGCACTTTTCTGTACCACAGCTGAGGTTTCGCGCGGCCACTTCTTGTTTAAAGCCATCGACTATTTAAGGCAATGATCAAAAGAAAAGTGGAACACAACAATGGGCCCAGACAATGGTCATCGATTGGTGTGCTCCAAGAAGGTAAGCACTTGACAAGGATACTTATTGAAGACAAGACTCACGACAATTGCGTGCCAATTGAAGTGCCTGCGAATGTGTCTGGCACCAAAAAATAGGCAATCTATCTGTTACAAAACGCCATTTAATGCTCGCCTTTGTAGTTTTGCAATAAAACTTGTCAACCCAGGTCATCAGAGACCCACGCACAGCCACCCACAATTAGACACAACAGCACATATGGTGATGGAACGTGACCTGCGGCTTTAAATTAAGTAATTAACTGATTAGCTCTGGCAGAGCATTTCAACATTGCGGTAACGAAAAACCGAACCCAGAGCCCAAACGTCCCATGCTGCAAAATTAATTAATTAAATGGCAAATCGAATGGCATCTCCAGATGGGAAAACAAAACATAAACAAAGCACATGTGGACAACAATACATAAGTAGGCTTATAAATAATTGTACGGACTAAAATACTGAAATAATTGCAATTGCTTTAATAGAACGTTAATTATCTGAATTGGAATTAAATAATACATTTAAAAAATAAATAAAATTCAATAAAGAACATCTTGTTTTATAAAAAATTTTCTTATATTTTTATGGCCTAAGTAAACATTGTTTATTGTGATTAAACTTTTTGGAAATTTTTGTTTTTAGTTCTTTAAACGTTTTCACCCAAAGCTGACTCATCTGTTTTAAACTTTGAAAAAATTTGGAGCTAATCATAATCCTTATAGCCTCGTTTTTTTAATTCTGTAAAGATTGACTTCCTATTGGCAAAAACGTTCCGTTCCAAGATGCCGATAGCTATCAAATAGCATTTTAAGTCCTTCAACCCTCTACAAAATTTGTGTCAAATGCAATAATGCTTAAATGATAAAAGTAATATTTTTAATATTAGTTTATACATATAATTCATTTGTTTAGAAAACACAACAACCAAGTTTCGGTTGATAAATTGAACGAATTTAAGTAAAAACTATTCCTTTCGAGACCCGAATTCCTGTTGAAGCCTTAAGAATTCTCACACAAAGATGTGCTGGCAGTTTTTAAAGTTCAACAATTTAAGTTTACTTTTAAATTTCCCCTAAATTTAATTTAATTTGAAATGTAGTAGATTGAAAGAGAGAATATGCACAGGAATGGAAAACACAAAGAAGCCCAAGGGCTTAGACAAAAACTAAACCAGCAACCCATCGGGCCGCTGATAATAAATGGCTCATCTATTCTCTGGGCCTAAAGCTATTGTGGCTGTCGAATTAATTTGAATACTAACGATATTTCGCATTGATAACGAAAGCAATTAATAGCAAATATAAATTCGTGAAGCAATTTTCTCATCAATTACTGAGTCACAAAACAATATTTGCGCACACACAAACATATATATACAAGTATATACATATATATAAATCAGTCATATATATATAAATCAGTCATTTCCGTTGCCGCACCAACAATACATAAAATAATATAATAATAATATGGCGAAGCCCTTTGAAAAGAGTAAAACAATATTAACAAATAGACATTGATTTGTTTGTTTTTCCAATGCCTCTTGTGACGACTGTTTGTAGAGAACAAATAAACTTAACACAAAGGCACAATTTTTATTTATTAATCTTCATGCCACAACAAATGGGAGGAAATCATTAACTGATATGCATCAGAAATTAAGATTTGAATTTAATTTTGAATAACATATTATTGCGTATATTTGAAAATCAAAAAACCCACAATTAGGTGAAATATTTTTTAATACTGACTTTGAAATTGTTTCTGATTTCGAAGATTCTGGCGACTTGTCATCTGACACATCAAACCAGTTCTTTTATTTTTAAAATAGAATTTTTTAATGGAAAGATGACTATAATTATTAGAATTTCTAGTTTAATTTTTCTTACTTTATACCTTTGATTTAAATGAAATTAATAATGGAATTTGATTGAAATGGTTTTTTAAATTATTTTTTAGATTTTTGATGCTGCAAATTATTAGTTACTGGTACTTGTCTATATACTTTTCCCGTAAAAGGCCTATTGTGATATATTTCTTGGTCTTTAAAAGGTCTTTATTGGTGCTTGCAAAACATTTCAAGCAAATATTATTTTTTTATTCTTTAGCAAACTATTACTTACAATACAACAATAACATATAGATTTCAAAAACAATTAAATTTCATATTTCACTTATTTAGTTTTTACTGCTCTTCTCGACCGAGCAATCAGAATTTTAAGCTATCCCCTTTTAGTGATTATAAATAAATCGTTTTAATTTAATGTGGCCAACCAATTACTATAATTTCTAT